GAAGCATAAGCGACTTAAAGAGTCTGCAAAAGTCTATGGAATGTATTACCATCCTGTCTGTGATATAATTTTTTAAAAATATATCAGATAACATTTCGAAACATTTTCTAATAAATTTATGATGGTTGCAATATAGAGGTATTGTAGTCAGTTAAACATGTGAAGAGTTGAGAAAAAATGGCAAACTGAACAATGCTGTTACCAAGTTAAAGTGCTGGCACTGTTATAATGTAGACACGTACCATATTTGGTACGAGCTGGATGAAAACAGGTTATGTCTCCGTCAAGACAAAACATCCTGCTGCACCTCCCAGTAGATGTACAGGTTCCTCCACAAGATGTAAGTACAAATGAGAATTCATACTTTAACATTCACAAACACCTGTGGACTTCTGTGATTTTGGAATGATTAAAGAGACCGTTGAAATTTGTCATTCTCATACTGTTGACAGACTCTAAAAAGCATGAAGAGGAGGTGGACAATAGTAGAAGTAAAGTTGCAAAGCAAGTGCATAACCTTGGCCATCACAAAAACCATTTGGTGGTGATGAAGGGTCTACAAGACCTGGAGACTCGTCATTCTATTATTACTATAGATCATGAACATGCGTCTCTATATATGGTAACTTTAGTACACACAATTGAAAAATATCAATACTCTGCTTTTATGCTGAATAGTGCAAGAAAATGTTTTAGTTATATCTGTAGCCTTTAATATTCATCGTCAAATTAAGAGTTCAGCCCCATCAATCTTTATTTACATATTGATATGCATTTTTCTGAATGTGACAGTGTGACATTGTGCTAAAACAAACAAGTAGTTTTCTATCAGATGGAGCAGCATAAAGCTTGAGGGCTTATAACACTAAAATTGGTGGTTTGATCTATGCAGCGAGCATCGCATAAATAGCTCATTGTGCAGTTTTTTTGTGATTAACAACAGACATACATACTCTCTTTCTTGATATCTGTGTTAAACACTGCAGCTTTCAAGTATTTTTGTTCGGCCCACCCTACCTTCCCTCTTTAAAAAATGATAGATTGCGATGACACACTTAAATATCAGTTGTGTTTGATGACTTATGTACAGAGAAAAGCAAAATTTTATAGATGTAACTATAACAAATGTAAAAAAAATATCTATTTTTATTTCTTTATATGCGGAACTACTTTTGTATTACATTTATTTTGTTAAATCAGTCATATGGTCATATATTATTATGGAAATTTGATTTTGAACTTGTGAAACCATCTGTAAGACCCATTTTTTATTTTTTCTGTATCAGATATCATTATAAATTTGAACCTATTCTCAATATGATTTCATTAACCCTATCAGGATGAGTACCTGTATTTTATAGAAGTTTGTAACCATTATGTTACCATGGTGGTACACATACTACAACCCTGAAAATACTTATTGCATCTTCATGAAATTTGGCAAGCTTTCAGTAAACTTTAAAAGTCTTTTGTGCACAAAAAATCTGAATTTTTAATAAAGTATTTTTACTAAAGCTGTCTGTTTAATTATATGGTGTCAGATTGTTGCCTGCTCCAAGTGCAAAGTGAATTTCATATTAAGACCAAGAATTATTTTCTTCATTTTGTATTCATAAACCCTAAAATCTTCAAATATTATATATATATCATATGTTTTTCTTCAGAAAACTTTTAAACCCCCCCAAAAATTTGAAATAAATCTAAATACTTTTTTTCTTTCTAGAATGACTTCAAATTTATTTGCTTATCCTAAATAACTTAAATATCATAACAGTATATATCTTTTTATACACAAAATTTGAAGTTACTTGGCAAACATGCAGGTCATGTTACCCTATCAAATTACGCAGCAATGGGCTACTTACGAGATGCTTGCAAGCATACCTCGTGAAAACATTTTGTTCTTATTATTATTAATTTTACCTAATATAACCTAAAAGGTTTCTAATTTTTAAATTTTAGTTACTTTTATAATAATAAATATAGAATACACATGAAAAACAAGAAATATAGTACTTGCCTGGGTCGTCGTCTTTTTGGTATCGACTGATGATGACACTTAACTCTACTTTTTTTATACTAATGGTACTACTGCAATAAATAATTTTTTTTTAAATAAATAATGCTCCAAAGAACACAGAATAATAACATGCAAAAAGCAGAATATGTTCCATAACTATCACAATTATTCTGGCTTTCTAACTATGTGACAAGAACTGTTAGAAATTCAGCTAAGCTTGTCGATGTCTTTCCCATGGGAATCAAGTTTTAACTGGAAGCAAAACTGACAGTTATCTGTACAGAAAACAATGTAATATAATACGTCATTTTAGCATTTTATGAAAAAGAGGGTTTGACAGGAGGGATCTGACTTTCTAGTTTATTATGGCTATGCAATTACATAAGATTGAAGGCTATAATAATTATGTTTTTCCTGAGCAATAATTATATTATAATGAATATTTTATGTTAAATTTTGTACTTCTTGGAAGGGTGGTAAATAAATTAGAGAAGAGGGGATGCCCAGAGAAAAAATGTCACATTTCTCACGCTAAGAGAAATTGAGGATTTTTTGGATTATTGTCTTGTAAAATTAAGAACTTAAAACTTAAATAATATTAAATTTTGATTTTTTAACTAGATTTTGATACCAAGTTTATTCTAATATATATATATATTGATTATAATGTTTAATTAAATTTTGACTGTAACTTTGTGAAAGGTTGTGTCAAGAACACTTTGATGTACCGGATGCTAAAGGGTTAAAAGTGAAATTTAGTTAAGCTGATTGGCAACAATCAATCTTAATTTCAAACCATAACTATGTGAGGATTTCTGGCACTGATGATTTGTGATGACATAGTGCAAGATATTTCCTGTGTCTTGATATATTGTATGTATATATAGGATAGTATTTTGCTGCTGAAATTCTAGAAGTATTCACAAGAAACCTTTACAGGATTCTTTTGGCCTGGCATGAACAGGTGGTTAGGGCACTCAACTCGCAATCTGAGGGTTGTAGGTTTGGATCCCCGTCCCACCAAACATGCTCGCCCTTTCAAACGTGGGGACGTTATAATGTGATGGTGAATCCCACTATTCATTGGTAAAAGAGTAGCCCAAGAGTTGGCGGTGGGTGGTGATGACTAGCTGCCTTCCCTCTAGTCTTACACTGCTAAATTAGGGACAGCTAGCGCAGATAGTCCTCGTGTAGCTTTGCACGAAATTCAACACAAACAAACAATACATATTCTTTTAGAATACATTGTTATTAAGTGTCACTGGAGTTTTGGGACTATTGGTTACTATACACCAATACTACTGCATAAAACATTTAGACATTGTTTTCTCCTTCTGAGCCAAAATAAGTAAATACAAAATGCATATTTTCAGTGTTTCTTGTTGTACTTATGTCTATCTGCGACAATTTACAAACTTTCTTTCAGAACCTCTGTTACCACTAAGGTAAACAAATACAGTTATTTGCACTAACCAGGTAAATTTAACTGTTTATGTTATTAATAATAGTATTTATTTAATAACATTCTTTCTATTATAGTTGCATAATACTTCCACATTTTCTTTCTTGGGAATGAGAGGTTATTCCTGGAGATCTTATTAGTTAGCCAGTGAAACTGGATTGTTAGCCTACTTTCATAGAGTTCTTTAAAATTTACTATTAAGCGACTGTCTTTATAAGACAATTATGTTGGTTGTCCAGTAAATTGGTAGCCTGCCATTAATTTTACTTGCCCTTTCAGCTGTGGGGGCATTATAATGTGATGGTCAATCCCACTATTCGTTGGTAAAAGAGTAGCCCAAGAGTTTCCGTGGGTGGTGATGACTAACTGCCTTCCCTCTAGTCTTACACTGCTAAATTAGGGACGGCTAGTGCAGATAGCCCTCGTGTAGCTTTGCGCGAAATTAAAAAAACAAACAATTTTATATTTACAGTTTGAATACCACTGGTGCAGGATGCAGTGTGCTAATTGCTGTTGGATTTGGCAATTATTTTAGACTTTCAACATATTAATAAAAAACTTGTAGAATAAATTTCATATAAAATATACCGTAAAAGTATATTAACATTATTCAATAGTAACATTACTGGTATCAACAGTCACTAATTACTTAAAGTATGCCTTTGAATTTTGTTTCAAGTCAACACATTTTCTAAAAAATACAGTTACCCACAAAACAGGACTTCTGTCATATTACATGATAAATTATGTTCAATCATGTTAACTTTTTATGTGAATTTGTCATAATTTATATTGAAACTGAGTTTTGTTTGTGAATATTTGAACTCTTGCTATATGTTTAACAACTGTTAGGTCAGCAATCCGTAGTATCATTAAAAAGTAACAACTTTCAGTTAGTTGTTTCTTACAAGGTAACTGCTTTATTCTACTCTAGGAGCTAAGAACGGTAAGCTATTATGTAACACTGAAAATTAATTTTGAGATGACTCATATGAAACTTATATATATGTATTCCATCAGTACTTAAATTTTGATGCAGTTTAAAAGATGAAGTGTTTGGTGTCAAGTTATACTGTTTGGTATGGTACAAGTTTTGTGCATTGCAGTAAAGCTCCTGTCAGATAGAAATGTTAAAGTTAAACAACCAGTTTCTTAACAGATTAACTACATTACTTAAGAAACCCATAAAGAAAGACCAGAAGGGAGTTTACAGTATGTACTCATGTCAAACTTAAATAAACCCAAGAGGATGCAGGTTGATTAATTGAACATAAAGTGTACAATTACATTATAAAACAAATAAGTTAACAATACATGTGGAAAAGAAAAATTCGTAATTCAAATGTAGATTTCTTGTATCTGTATGGCTGCATAAGAAATAGTGTCACTCTTGACATCAATTAAAATATTAATTTTCATTATTTCATTTATTACAATACATTTAAAGATGACTTTTTTTCATTGTATTTTATTTACAGTAAACAATATATGAACTGAAAATTTGTTATATTATGACAGGAACCATGTGGATGGTTAGTGGATATAATAAATAGGGTATGTATATTTCTTTTGTTTCTTAAATTTATAATTCTTTAATCTTTTGATCTGTAACTAAATTATATCTTTATAGTTTGTAGACTGTTTCAAACAGTTCGTTAAGTTATTTTACTGGTGTGGTGTAATTTCTCTTTTAATCAGGCATAACACTACACTATTACTGGTAAAATTACAAATCTTTTTGCTTTCTAAGTTCCAAGTCATAAATATATTTGGTATTAAAAAAAACAAAAAGTAGAAACAAATTTTTTTCACATTTTCTGTAACTTGCAAACTTACCACAGGTAGATTTTCACATTTCATAAATCAATAAAAAAAATATTTCAAGATGTCTTCTGTGCAAATATACAATCTAGTAAAACAGTACAAAAGACAACTTAAGAAGAAATTAAAATATGGCAAAAGGGATGTTGAAATTAAGTTGTATTTGTATGTTTAATATTTTTCAAAAAGTGGGATAAAATAGGGTAAAGACCCAACATATATTTTCTCTAATGTAGTCATGTAGAAACCCTATATATGGGTTGGAAAGAATCACAAACATTAGGTTAATTTGATCTTAATAGATGCTTTTAAAATTAAACAAGTCTTTACAAAAAGAGAAATTATCTACATTTGCAGATGTAGTCACACAGTTAGTAAGACTTTATTTTTGTAGGCTTCTTCATTTCATATCTGTGCCGTGTACTGCATGAGAGGTTTTTCTGCTTTTGGACACTATAGCTTCACTGGAACCACTTATCCCTTTGGATTATGCATATATGTTCTTACTCCAATGGTCCTTGCATGGTCAGTGGTACCACTCACAGGAATCTTTAATCTCAAAGATTCACCTGTCCCCTCCTCTACTCAAGGATCTGTATTGGTGTTTGGACCAATACAAAATCACCATTGGTGTTCCATTACATCTACCCAAACCAGTTCAATATATATATATTCACCGAGACTTTCCTCTCTGACTGGGGAGGACCTCTGAGTGACAATTTCACATCTGACACATGGGACCGCAACAAGTCCTCTTTCCATATCAGTGCACTTGGACTTTTGGCAATCTATTAGGCATGCTTCGTATTTTTACCTCTCCTCGTGGATCATTTCATCATAATCCAGTCCCCTTTACTTTCAAATCCTAGACCTTCTTTTTTGGCCACTTCTCAATGG